AAGGGGTGGTCCTGGCCGGCAACTGGCCCGGGGACGGCGTGGGCGTGGAGACGACGATGTCCGAGTAGTCGGGGCACAGCAGCTCCGCCCGGACGGCCCGCATGTCGTTCTGGGCAAACTTCTTAGGGGACTCGCAGATAACCTGGTCCACCAGGACACCGGTGTTGAGCTGCTCCAGCCACAGCTTCATGCCCACCACGTCGCAGGTGCAGTCCCAGGGGTTCTCATGCAGGTCGATCTGCAGCAGGGATTTCAGCTGGTCCAGCACCCCGCTCACTGGCAGGTAGGAGAAGTGGTTGCTCCGCAGGCTCAGCCTGTAGAGAGACAGACCAGAAAAAATGTTCCCTGGCAAAGACCTCAGCAGATTGTTGTTCAAAAACAAGAGCTGAAGGTTGGGGACAGGTTCAAAGGTGCCTGCCTCTATCTCCCGGATGACGTTGTACTGCAGGAAGAGGTACTGCAGGCTTTGCAGCCCATAGAACAGCTCTGGGCTCAGCCGTTCGATCCGGTTCCCATTCAGGTACAGCCTTCGCAAATTAGTTAAATCCCCAAAAGCCCGGTCCTGAATGACCGAGATCCGATTATTGCCCAGGTGCAGCAAATCCAGCCCAGTAGCATCCACAAAATCTGCCCTGCGTACCAGAGCAATGTAGTTTTCTGTCAGATACATCTTCTTAGGATTATAGGGTTTGGGCTGCAGTTCAGAAATGCTCTCAATCTTCCTCTCCTGACAATTGACATTGAGGCCCAGGTCAGAAATCTGCAAGTTGCAAGTGCAGGCAGTGGGGCACTCCAAAGGCACCGGGGATTTGGTCTGGTAGGCAATGCTGGGGCCGTAGTTGCTGTATCCCAGGTCTTTTGAGGGCAGGCGAGAGGTGGGGCGCACCCTTGTCTTGTTGGGTTGGCGGGTTCCTTTGGGGGGCTTTAAGGGAGATTTGTAAACAGCTGAAGAAGAAGTGGCCACAGAGTTGACTGAAGCCGGGGTAGTGTGGAAATACCCTGTGGTGCTCAACGGTGTCTGGGGTCTCATTTCATAATCCGAGATGAGCCTCCTGGGGCAAAGCTCCTGCTTGGAGACTTCATCCAAGTCTCGACCATGTAAGCGGAAAGGGGTCTCGCAAACCACATCTCCCACCAGAGCAGAGTAGGAGATACTGTCCAGCCAATCCTTTAGAGCGATCAACTCACAGGAGCAATTCCAGGGGTTTTCCTCCAGCTGCAGCTCCACCACTTTATCCATGTGCTGCAAAAGGCCCACATAGGGCAACAGCTTCAGCCTGTTACCCCTCAGGTCCAGGTGAGTTAAGGGCACAAAACGGAAAAGGTTGTTTGGCAAACTGGAGAGGAGGTTATCATTGAGAATCAGCACCTGCAGCAAATGCAGTTTGCTGAAGGCGTTGGGTTCAATGATGCTAATATAATTATAATCGACCTGTAGGTATTCCAAACTCTCTAGCCCAAGGAAAGTGTCATCTCGTAGAAGTTCCAGCTTGTTATTGTTCAGGTGCAGCCTTCTTAAACCTCTCAGACCATGAAAGGCCCCCGTTTCAATGTCTTGTATGTCATTGCTCCCCAGATGCAAAATGGATGCCCCAGTGTAATTGACAAACTGGTTTGGGTACAGCCTGTTCAAAAGGTTCCCAGACAACAAGAGGTGGTAGACAGGGAACCTTGGTGGACTGATTTCAAAAAGGCTGATGATCCCTCTGTTTTCACAGCTCACTGTTAAGATGCTGTCCTTCTCCTCACAAGGACATGCATTATCACAGATTTCCCCATAATACTCGATGCTTTCTGCCCACGAAAGGACTAGTGATGTTAAAGCAAATGCGATCGTCTGCAGCATCCAGATATGCATTTTTTTGTTGAGGTCCTGTTCCAAAGTTACTGTAGAGCAGCAAGCGTACATTTTATTTCCTGTAAGGGTAAGGAGAGAAAAAGAAAGCGGCATAATAGCATAGCCCCATCAAATTTAAAATGGGCACAAAGTTTATATATATCTACAGTGGAGTAGAGAATGGATTATTAATCAAACAAACCAGAAAAAAAAACCCCAACCCTCCTGTCACTTCTAATTCCCACACTTTCAAAAACCGGATGACATGCATTGATTAAAAGGTTGATGGGCAACTCCTAGTGAGTCAAATGCCTGTGGTGTTTAAAAAGGTGAGGTCACAAGTAGGAATTGTTCTGATTCTGTTCCTGTGGGGTGCATTTCAGTGCTTCCTTGGATTGCTTTTTCATGACCAGCCCCATAAATATACATAAAATGGCTGTCAGTGCAGTTTCACGATTCTAATTTAAGAGAAAAGAAGCACCATTTTCCGAGGTTTCCCACCTCCCCGTTTACCCAGCTCCCACTTCCCTTCAGAACCTCCCCAGTGAACAGCGCACCAAGGTCTTCCCCTCCTTCTACCTTGATTTTTAACCGGTGGTGGAAATGCCATGGTAGGAATCCAAAGAAAAATGCTCAGTGCTGGAAACGGCAGCTTAATGCAACAGAGAGAATACTGACACATTCTCCACATCACTCATTTCTTAAAACTGTTTTATGGGGTTTTTTTCTATCTATACATTTAGAAAGCACACACCCACACAGACATGCACACACACACATGCACCCCCTAGATGACTTTCGTGGTGGAATTCTTCAGTAATGAGATTAAATACATTAGCCTCCTACTTCAGTGCACTTAACAGCTCTCCTCAGTGAGAGAAATTGTATCTTTACACAAGTAAATAATTTTAAATTATTTTATGATCCCCCCCACGAGGTATATACAATGTAACAGAGATGACTATCAAACAGAGGTCTTCAGTTCTTATACACACACACACACACACACACTCTTAAAGGAAATGTTTTAACCACTCACCCAAAATTTGTGAAAAATGTAAAACATGCGGATCATCTTCGGAGTCTCAGCCATATCTGACATATCGCTTATTCCCAACGTTCTGCAAAACTAGCCTGGTAGAAGTGGAGAGATCTAAATAGGTCTCATGGAAATATCTCATCGCCAACACTCCAAGCATCAGAGTTACTGATTATAAGCAGCGATGGCTGTCAGTACTCTTCATCCTTTAGGGGAGAAGACACCCAGGCTGATTAAAAGCCAAGGGGGGTGGAAGGGAAACCCTACCACTGACCTACATCAGTAATTTAATACCTGAATTTCACCTAGCTGGAAACAAATCCCATTTCCATTCCTTCTTGCAGTCTTTCTGACTCCTTGTGGCTTTCTTCCACTTCTACTAGTCTAAAATATGAATAGGGAAAATAAATGCATTGTGTGTGTCAGTAGCGAAAGACTAATAAATCATCCAGGCTTAAATGCTGGGATCTTGGAGCAGGCTTGCATTTTCTATCGTCCACCTCAGAGCTCCAATCCTCATGCCACAACTCTGGTTTGGAGGAATGCATCCTAAAAAACGGGAAGTCTCAGTACTGCAAGACATCTCTTGTGGCATCAGGTTCAAGGCTGCAAATCTAGCACTTGCAGCAAAGGCAGTCATGCAGCAAGAAATCGGAAGTCTCGGCGAATCTCTCTAATTCTGACCAGACGTCAACTGGATCGGAATTACTCAAAGCAAAAGGCTTCACTGCATAAAGGCAGAAGAAATCTTACTCAAAGGCATGTATCTAGCATATTCTTTCCCAGCTCGATCAGATCCATTCATCCATTAACTGACAGTTCTTCGGAGGAAAAAAAAAAAAAAAAAGCCATTGAAAACCTGCCCGGTCAGTGTTAAACTCCCAAGCATTTTACAACTTTAATTCAATTATGGTTAGTAAAGGAGGCAAACACAATATTCCCTCCCTCCTCCTTTCTCCCTTTCCCGGAAAAAAAAAAAAAGGGG